CTTTCTCTTCTTTCCTTGTTTCCTTTCCCCTTCCACTTCCCTAGTAGTTCCTGGATCGCTTTCATGACAGGTTTTCTATTGGTTTTGTTGCCTACTGGGTTCCACAGATGAGAGAACTCATGTCTTTGTGAGACTGCCTCATTCCACTTAACATGATGGTCTTCCATTCCATCCACATGATTACCATAGCTGCACTAGAATTAGACATACTCAACCAGTAAAGTTTGCGCAAATACTATCAATAACAACAAAACAACAACAACAATAAAACATTATCTCTGAAATCTGAAACATTTCTAGTACCATTTTGAATAAGGAAAACTTAACCTGCACATTGAATTTAAACATCCTCCCTCATTTTTTTCCTCACTCAATTTTTAAGCAATACTTTAGCATGAGCAAAGTATTTAAACAATTTTATTTGATCCATTGCAAACCATAGCATAAAAGGGAGCCCGGGTGTTATTATAGCCAACAGATGGCAGACTGAGGTACACACAAGTGAACAACACCCATTGTTCAAAGTCAAAGCGCTTAGAAGGAGAAGAAGCAGGAAAAGCTCAGTGCGATTTCTGACATCCTAAGTCTACTATATCCTCTACGGTTTCTTGGCTTTTATTCTTATGTTGTTTTAAAAGGCATAACTAATTCACTTCAGTATTGAACTCAAGGTTAAATAGACATATATTCTGGGCAAGTCTGATTAAGGCAAATTTTGGGTTGTTTCTCATTATCTGAAACATATTTAAAAAGAATCTATGATGCAGATTTCAATGGGACTCACTGATACTATACGTCTGCTTTGGGCCCTTAACATTGAAGATGAAAGCAAACAGAATTAAATCTGTCAGATCACCCACAGTATCCTCTTGATAATGACATTTGATCTGGTTATAAATCTGCTTCATCTACAATTTGGATAGTATTTATATTTCATTTTTAAGTATCCATCCAAGACTAGAATAAAGAAGAGTAACAAAAATTTCTGATGATACTCTTTGATGCTATACATACAATTTTATTCAAAAATCAAGCATCACTACCTCTGAAGTTAGAATCAAAAGCTGAGGCATTATTTCTGAAGCTATAGTCAAGAACAATGTTAGCATCTGCAAAACTGGAAGTATCATAATATGATCATCTGATGCCCAGTAGGATATGCCCATACTACGCCCACAGAAGTATAATGTGCTCTCCATAGAACAAAAGCGATTATAATGGGGCATGGTGGCTCACACTTATAATCCAGCTATTGGGGGTAGGAGGGTCACAGCTCAAGGAGAGCACCTGGCAAAGCTAGTAAGATCTTATCTGAGAAACATTTCTTAGAGGGAGGAGTGCAGGGAGTTTTGACAGAGAAGGTGAAACGGGTGGGAATACAGTGTAAATGGATGAAGATGTAACAATGAAATCTCTCCTCTGTATAACTAACAGAAGTCAATAAAATAATAAATAGAAGCAAAAGACTGGCTGACTTGGTACCAACAGAGGAGCACTTACCTAGAATGTACAATGGCATGAGTTCAATTCCCCAGTAATGGCCAAAAACAGAAGGGGATTATTTTGTACTTATTATAAAGATGTTGTACTTTTTTACCTTACATTTAAAAGCCAGCACATCTGAGCTGGCCTTTGTCTAGCATGTACATGTCTAAGATGGTCCTATTGAATGGTAAGAAAATTAATGAATATATTTTATGTCTTACATTGAACCAGGAAATAAAAGCCACTCTGTGTTGCTGCTTAAGTTTTTCTACCCACAGCTTGACTTATAAACCCAAGTCACATAAATACACATATCAACCTAGAACTCTGCCCTGTAAGGTATTGTTCCCAAATCTCTTTTCTCCATCCTGTCAGTCCTTAGTGGCACTCTTGCTGACTGAGTGGCTGTGTGTTATTCATGGGTATGTTGTGGCTATCATCCTATAGGAGTGAATCTGGTTTTGTCCTTGACTCACTTTTTCTTTCTTCCTTTCTCTTTCTCTCTTCCTCAGTCTTGGCACCAGCCAGGCCTTCTGTTTAACTCTATTCTTTTATTTCTGAAACACTCAGCTATTCAGAGAAGATGTATAGATAGCCCACACCTAAGAGTGCTCAATTCTGCGTAATAGGAAAAATTCCACATCCAGACAGTACTGCTGGCCTTCACTTCAGTAGGTAACAAAAGGCAATCCTTCTTCCTTTCAATGCTTGACAGAGGTGGTTCGGGAACGAGCAAAATGACTCTCTGAATGTATGTCTTGACAGATGTGAAAATGATCATAAAAGACCGTGGAACATACTGAAGAGAAGTCAGACTTGACATTGAAGGTATTTTTAACAAAAGTCTGTATCAACATCAGATGCGGCTCTCATAAAGGGAAGGTTGCTAAGACCTGAATAGTCTATTAGCAAAAAAAAATTAACAGTACGATTGCATACACACTGAAGCACATCTACTTAGCACGGGGCAGAGGCGGCCCCACAATCTGTTTTGCACACTTTCCTTCTCCTCACAATTTATACCTTTGTGGGCTATGAGTAAAGAGTAGCATATGACAATAATAACAGTAATCAGTACTGAGACATTCCTTATAATTCCCTACCACTTTCACATTAGTATTTTCTTTTTTTAGGGGGACACTTTAACATTTCAGGAGGGTTAAGTGATTTGTTTAACCTGAGTTAGTTTGCAAATTTCAGAGCTAGGGTTCCAGCGGTCATCTTTCTTTCTTTTTATTCTGTCACCATGGCCTAACATTTCTGAATACTACTGGTCTCATAATGTTCAGCTTTTCTTAGATAATTTCTACCTTAAACAGGTTCAAATTTCCCTAAAACCTGCACATCTCCTTTTAAGTTGCATGTCACCTAATGTTGAGTCAGAGACTAACCCAATGTGCTTATGTTCACTTTAGATTTAATGTGATTCCAGATAAAATAGGCATGAACACATAAACATACTTTAAGTTACAAGTTATTATAAAGAAAACAATAGAATAAAGGCAGAATAAAGGTAACTATAGCAACCTTTGATTCAAAGCAAGCCACCTTTCAGGCACAGGCAACAACAGCTCCTAGGTGTGATGTGTCTCAAGCACACACATTTTGGGAGCACATTACCTGAATTTCTTACTCGGTATTCACAATTTGGTTCTACCTTTCTGTGTCAATAACTAAACTAATCTGATTAGACAATCTTTGGGTTTGTCTGTTTCACTGCAATCTTCCCATCCACTTGCATTTCTGAATCTTGCCTGACATGAATGCTTCTCTTTTGATATCTACTAGTTGGGAGGAATTACAATGGAGCCGTAAGACAAGAGACAGCTTTAGCTGAATGACTTTTGACATTGGCTATCAAAGATTAGCTAACATGACTGGCCCTCATACTTCCATATGCTGAGTACATAGGGTTGTTGGGATAATGGCAACAACAACAAAAGTAAATATAAAGGCCAAACTAGCAACATTTTCTGAATTTCCAAGCAGACTAGGATCTTATGTGGACTGAGAAGTGACAGCAACAGAGATTTCAACAAATTTTACAATTTTTCCCAAATGGGGAAACAAACATTGATTATTTGAGATAAGACAATATTTAAATAAGATTTCTAAGAAAGGATAGGATGCCAGTAGGAAAATGGTGGTACAAGGTGCAGTATCTGTTTGAATAATCAAATTGAAATTATAGATTTTTTTCTTTTAGGGAAAGTCAGGCTGCAGTTATGAGGATGATTGACTGAGTTCTCCTAGGAGAAAATAAACAGTAGGGACATAAATAAACTTGTATAGACAAGAGAGAAAGGAAAGCCAGAATTAGGGTAGGTAAGTAGAAATTTTTTTTTTAAAAAAGAGAGAAATTAAAGGGTACTATGGAGATAGAACATTGACACTGGCTACTAATTGGGAATAGGGAATAAAATAAAAAAAGGTAAGTTGAAAACCAATAGGCCATTAATGGAAGTGACAAACTCATATGAAGCCATCCATTCATTTATCAAATTATTATTAAACACTTACTCAGTGACCATCGTGTTATACTTTTTGCCAGGCAGCATGCTAAGAGCTCCAATAGGAATTGGACCTGATTTACTGAAATGTTATGTTTTCTACATGGAGAGGTGAATGTATCAACAAAATATTCCAGCTGCTGAGTTTTAGCAGAGTGCAGTTTAGGAGAATTGAGTTGAAATTAACTGCATATGGGGAGGCCATGGGTGAATCTGTGAAAGAGTGAAATCTCTGAAACAGGAGGGGAAGGACTTGAAGGAGACGTGTCATAAAATCCATAATTTGTGTGTGTGTGTGTGTGTGTGTGTGTGTGTATGTGTTGGTACTGGGATTTCAACTGTGGCCTTGGAGCTGTCCCTAAACTTTTTCCACTCAAGTCTGGCTCTCTACCACTTGAACCACATCCCCAATTCCAGCTTTTTTCTGGTTAATTGAAGATACTGATTTTCCTGCCTGGGCTGACTTGGAACTGTGATCCTCAGATCTCAGCCTCTATGGAGTAGCTAGATATCCAGGTTTGAGATCCCAGTGCTCAGCTAAATCTCATAATTTATTTTGCTTTATCAGTGAACAATTACTCCACATAGAACAGCAAGGATCATTAAACATGCACAGAGCTATCAACAAATCCCCCTCAGGAACACATATGCATGACAATAGAACCATCAAACACTTAAAACTCTAAAGATCTCCATACCAGCTGTACAGAAGAACTCCTAGACAATTTCTACTCTTATATATATTTTTTTCCTCCTCTATCTCTCAAGTGGCTTTTTTTTTACAGCAAAAAGAAATGTAAAGTGCAGCTCACCTAATTCAATAGCATATTGATGTACATTTTTCTTTCATTTTTTTCCTTATAAGAAGTATTTGCTATTTAAAATCTGTTACTAGGTGATAATACTAAAGCATATTTCTCTCTCTCTCTCTCTCTCTCTCTCTCTCCCTCCCCCCTCCCCCAGTCAACCCTATACCTTTCACTGTGCATTTGCAAGTCAAAATACCTGTTGCCGTGCACATGAGAGGCACAGAATGCAAAGCTGTAATGGAGCAGGGTTGGGTCAATGACAGCACCGTTTTCTGAATGTTCCATCAGCTCAGTAAGGTAGCAGAGATGTCTGTGACAACCTCTCACACCGTAGCGGGCACAATACTCATCTAGGACAAAGACCTGGCCAGGGCTAAACCAACCCTACAAAAGAAAAAAAAATGTTTTCATCAATGAATACTGAGTTTCCTTTCTATAGGCACTAGCAGTCATGATCAGAAACAGCTGAATGAGAGAAATCTTTAGGTACTTATTGGTGATGTGTTTTTTGGACTTTTTCACAAGATTTAATATACTCCATTTTGGAGCTAATTTGGGACACTGGCAACTTAATATTCTCTCTTGATCCTTGGGACAATGAGTCAGGGAACAATGAGTGGGCAACTTGTTCTCCATTGACATTCAAAGCTACTCTAATTTAGACCATGATTTCCATTTGCCAGTCACAAAGAAGGATATTCTACAAACTTCAATCTATTTGTAAATCAACTGTAAAGAGAAGAGCCAAGCAGAGGCTACTTTAGCCATTACCTATTTTCTAGGCAAGCACTCTACCACTAGCCACATTCCTAGCCCCCATTACCTATTTTCTGAAAACATTTCATAAATGGTACTCAACCGACATTTCAGTAATTTTAGCTGTGACTGTACTTAAAACACCATTTCAGATATTCCTCTAATTCTGTGTTTCTATGATGACTATAGCAGAGATAAATATTCTCCAGTAGTAGAAGAGACAGAAAGAAAAGAGAAGGCTTTAAAGAAATGGAGGAACAGGGGGAAAAAAAGACCAGCAGAATCCTTCACTACTGTGGAGATAGTAAAGGCATCCACTTTATGCATGGTAGTTAGTGTGGTTTGTGTATTACAGATAAAAGTAAAGGGATGTTAAGTGAATTGGCTAAGATGACAATGCAAATTAGCTGGTGAACCATGATTTACATGCAGTGTGCAGCTCTGATCGCATTAAGCTCACTCCTAGCTAGGTGGAGTAGAAGTCACCCTTCAGAATCATCATCACTGAAACATGGGGTAATCACTAAGATGGAAACAACTTTTGGTGACGGCATCACTAGCATTAACAAACCACTCTGAGCGGAACCTACATGGCACTTGTCTCTTATTTGGTGTTCTCTTCATGTGTACCTATCCAAGGCAGATTTCATGGGACTCTGTGATCATTTATCTTATTTTCCCTGTAACTTCAAAATTTCAGTTGAATCTGCTTGTTACTTATAGGATACTAATTAATAACTATTTCATAAATAAATTAATGAAAACTTAACGTGATCATATAGTAAATCAATTTCCTCATCTACTCAAGGTATTCCTCATAACTGTCTAACCTCTTACTTTAAAGAGAATATAACACTGCATTTAGTTACTAATGTTCATTGTTTAAGAAACTCAAGTGGCAATATAAAGAGGCCTATTCTGGCTGGGAAAAAATGCACAGAAATGTCCATTCTCAATATTTAACATTTGGAACGGCACCTAGGATTCTTAGACTATAAAGTTTAATCATTACATTCGATGGTGTCAAGCTTTCTTTTAAATAGAAATGGCATTTTTTATTTCCAATTGTGATTACACTTTCAAGATAAGACCAGGTTTCATGTTAGCTACGTAATACCCCTTCATTTGGAGGTGAGATGAAACTTTGAATAAGTACCATGTTGTGCCTTCCACTCTGTATGTGTGTGTGTGTGTGAGAGAGACAGAGACAGAGACAGAGAGAGAGAGAGAGAAGGAGAATTTGGGTGTGTTTCTATCACTTGGGTTGTTCTTTTAAAAATTAAAGGGAAAATTTTGCAAGGTATCCACATCTGGGGAAGAAAATATAAACTTTAAAATGTCTGGGCAGGTAGTAATAAATCCTATAATAGAAGTTTCTTTATTTCTTCCCTCCCCCCCCCCCCCGCCCCAATCTTTTTTTTTTTTTATATTTTATTTTTTTAATTTAATTTTATTTTATTTGAGAACATACTGTACAGAGGGGTTACAATTACATGGGCAGGATAATGCATACATTTCTTACCAAGCATTGCAGCCTCCTCCTTTGTTTACCCTTCACCTCCCTTCCCAGCCTCCTCCCTCCCCCACACCCAATCATACCCCCCCCCCCCACCGACATTGTAAAGCTGGTTTTGACATGACATTTTGTACTTCTCATTGTTGCAACAGGTCCCAATCTTTATTTAAAGCTTTTTGCTATCATGTTATCTTCTTTGAAAAATCAGGTAAAACACAGTTCAGTATCTATTTGAGTCTAATTCCCTTCTCTATTGAGTGGCACAGCAGTGGTCTTCAAGAATATATAATCTCTAAATTAAGAAGCAATCAATTGGAATCCTTTATCACTTGATCTGACTTGTTATTAAATGAGTCAGGAATAAAATATTAGTTTATAATAAGTATTTCTCTGTTTCTTAAGTCTTTTATTCTAATATATAGGTGATTAGAGAGAATTTGCTCACCAAACAAGAGTAGGAATCATTCAGTCTGTGATCCAATGTCTGTCTCTGGAGTATTCTAAAAAGGAAGGCGTGGTCAAGCTTGCAAGGACTAGCAGAAATAAACTCATCCATACCATGTTTCTGAAAACGGTCTGCATCTGTAAATTCAGAAAAAAAAACATTGATAATACATTTTTTTTTTTTTGTTTAATGGTAAATACGGTTTTTGAAGAACATAGAGCACATGCCTTAGGGTAAAAGAACAATATCTGCTATCAAATAAAACATGATACAGAGAATCCAGCAGATTAATATAACTTGCAAATTCTTGAAATCCAAATTAAAGCATCATGTAAATACAATTCACAAATCATTGGGAACAAAGAGATACTATTTTCCTTCAAATTATTTCTAATACCTATCAGAGGGATAATCTTATTCTTCGACTTGAAGCAAAGTCAATCTATTAAAATATATTTACTGAAGGCAAGGACTGGAAAAAAACCTAGGTCTACTGATGAAAAGCAGCAATCATGGCCGGAAGCCTGCTTTCCAAATGGCAAACTGGGGCAGAAATGAACACACAAGCTTCAGCTGGATCACTTCCAGTCTTCCTTTTTTGTATGGAGCTCTTAATGGGACCAACCTTAATGCAGAAATGGCAATGAACTCTCTCAAGCTTCAAGTTTAAGAGACATAAAAAAGGGAGCATCATGTTTGTGCAAATATGCAGACAAAGCAAAACGTCCCAAATGGCACTTCAATCAAAGGTCCACGTTTATTGTTCTTTACAGATTGCATCTTTCAATGCCTATAGACCCTGCGGGTTTATCAAAAGGCAAGCTTTTATGATTGCTTTCATTAATGGTATGTTTTGTCAAAGTCTTCAATGTGATTTACTAAATATATAGAGAAAAAGCCACACACTACCAAAAGGAGTGCTGGGGTGTTACTACATTAGCTCTGCTAAAACAGACTGCATATTGGGCAAGCAATCAGTTATCAGGATAAAAGTGGACTCTTCTCACAATGGCAAAGCTGAAGTGCCATTGTTCCTTAAAACTCATACATAGATGTTTTTCCTGTCATCACAAGAAAAGCAGTTCTAAATGAAAGCTAAGTGTAGCTTCTAAAATCTACGTTGTACAACCCTAAAACTGTAAAGGGAAAGAGACAAAAGTTTATTGATTAAACCCAATTATAGAGTCAGGCTCATAATAAAACTCAATATTGATCTGTGGACATGATGCTAACATAATCAGTCACATTTAGATATTTAGCCCAGATCCTATTGATCCATGTCAAGTTCAACTCTCAGCCATATCCATGGATGGGAGAACTATATAATTCAAGCTGAAGGGTCTTCAGAAACCACATTTTCAAAAAAGATAAGAAACTAATGTATGTTCCACATTGATAATGGTTATCGAAAGGTGAACATGGCAAGGAAGCCATGGATGACAGTTCACTGAAGACATGAGAAATGATACTGTGATCCATGGATAAAGCAGCAGATATTTTCCTTTATATTTAATGATTACTTCCTGAACTATTATATGCATTACAGCGGCTAAATCAGTATTTACTAGACGAATACAAAAATTAGACTGCTTTTTCTAAACCAGGAAACGAGACAATTGAACTCCTCCTTGTATTTTATTTTTCTCCCAGAAAGTATTTTAATATAGTTAAATGTATAAAAATCTGAAAAAAATAATGAGTCAGATAGAATATTAAAATAGGAGAAGTAGATTAACAATTGGAAGATCATTTTATGTTAATGAACTTATCATACAGTTTTCAGTTTTCAAAATCTAAAAATGCTTTTAGTATTACTTTTATGAAACAATCTTAGTTATAGAAAACATCTGCTGAATTTGATTCATTAGTTCCTCCCCAAAAGAAGGTCAGACCAAGCAGTTAAAAATAACACTCTTTAATAGCTTGTCTGTTGAGAACAGAATATAACAAATTTCTGAGGAAAATTTCACAGTTCTTTTACTCTAAAGGTTTACAGGAGCAATTTTTCTTCTAAAAAATTGGCAGTCTTTAAATAAAAAATGAGTTTTTGGAGAAAACGAATCTAAAGTTCACTTCCATAATTAAATTAGTTTTTGGATTAAAAAAAGTCATTTCTTCATGAAATACAACTTGAAACTGTATTATTTACTAACATGACAAATGAACACATGGATGGAAAATTACTTTTAAACAATTAGATTAGTGATAAAAATTGTATTCATTTTAAGTCACAAGTATAAACTCTAGTTTGACATTGAGTGAAATGAAACAGTCTAAAATCTTCACTTATAAAAGAAAATGAAGCCAGGTTTGGGTGGCTCATGCCTGTGATCCAAATTACTTCTCTGAGAATTGTGGTTTAAAGCCAGACTGGAAAGGGAAGTCCTTGAGAATCTTTTTTTTTAATATATATTTTTATTGTAAAGATACTATACAAAGGAGTTACAGTTACATGAGTAAGGTAAGGAATACGCATTTCCTATCGAGCATCATTACCTCCTTCTTTGTTTTTCCCTTACCATCCCTTCCCTCCCCACCTCCCTACCTCCCCAACTCTTCCCACCCCCTTCCCCGAGGTTGTAAAGTTCATTTTCTACATACTGTCTTGTACATCTTATCTCCAATTAACAACCCAGAAGCCAGAAGTGAAGCTGTGGCTCAAGGGGTAGTGTTAGCTTTGAGCAAAAAAGGTAAGGGTCAGGGACATTGAGCATGCCCTTGAATTCAAGACCCCAGTATTGGAGTGAGTGTGCACGTGCGCATACACACACAAACACACACACACAGACACAGACACACACACAGAGAGACAGAGGGAGGGAGAGGGAGAGAGAGAGAGAGAGGAAAGAGAGAGGGAGAGAGAGAGAGAGAGAACCAGCAATCTTTTTAGGGCCATTGTTTTCTGAAATTGAAATGTGTTCTTAGGGATTATTTCACCTTCAAAACCCAGGCTGTAAAGACCTAAATCTCTCTTCTTTCCCTGTCAGACAAGTGCACTCAAAACTTTTGATGAGAAGTATGTACTACTAGAATTTTGGTGTTCATGATTTTATTAAATACAAAAATTAAGAAGGCCATAATTTTGACCTTCTTATGACAGAAATCTTTTCCTTTGTTTTCAGTACAACTTTATTTACAATGAACACTTGCTTTACTTTGTTGCCCTTGTGTTAAACAAAAATAATAGTAAAACATATAAAATATATCAGAAAGTAAAGTGCATTACAATAGCATTAAGACTCGAGGAGAGAAGTTGATGTACAATACTGAGAGTTTCTCTCTTACTTTTATTTTTTTATTTGGTGCTAGGCATAGAACATAGAATTCTGGACTTATACTTGCTAGGTAAGTGCTCTACCACTGAGCTGTATCTCTATTCCTTCTTTCTTGTTTTTAGAGTACACGTTATTTTACATATTTGAGTTTAACAATATGATGTTAGAGAATACACAAATGGTTACTAACGTGAAACATATCAACATATACCTCAATAACAGCTGCTAAAATCTACTTAAGTTATCAAAAGCAGCTAATGTAATGCAACATTTTTTTCCTTTTGCCATAATGCTAAGGCAAGTGCTATCATATGGAGCGCTCCACCTCCAGCCTGGCTATTTCATTAAGTCTAGTTCTGTTCATTTCTCACACTCTACACTTGTTCATTGTATATATCAGTTAAGCAACCTTGTTCACTTTGATCTACATCATTAGATTTCTTCCCCTATACATCTTTAATTTTAAAATTCTCTCATGAATTAAAGTTAAGCAGGAAGTCAATTACCATTATATTTTGTATAGTTTTTTGTTTTCATAAAAGCACATTTTTACATAGTTTTATGTTGCCATAATATATTTATATTTTACTTTATCCTCCAATCCTCAGTACTGAGATTTGAACTCAGGGCCTCAAATTTGCCCGGCTGGCACGCTACTTTTTTTTCTTTTTTTCACCACTTTATATCTTGAGTCATACCTTGGACCCAGATTTTTACTGGTTACTTGAAGGTCACAGTCCCTTGGACTTTTCTGCCCAGGCTAGCTTACCCCAATAATTCTCAGATCCCACTGAGTAACTAGGAGTACAGGCAGGAAAGCCACCAATGCCTGGCTTACATTTTATGCATAGAGACACAGAAGGCCTGGCATTGTGGCTCAAATGGCAGAGCACTTGTCTGAGAAGTATAAGGCCTGTGTTCACCCCCCCCCCCCCCCAGGACTGTGAAAAGAAAACAGACAAAAAAGAGGCATCATCCGAAAAACCTGCTTTCAATCAATTAGCATTACCAAATTTGGTACTTTAAAATAGGTTCTATCAGATTATCTTCAAATAATATTTATTAGAATGCCAAATTTTTAATAGAGAACTATTCATGGTACCATTTAAATGTTCTCTTATAATGGCAAGTTTCAGTTCAGTTTATCTTCTGAGTCAATGTAAGAAAACAATGAAATCAAGCTAAGGAGAAATGAGCTTAAATAATGTGCCACAATACTGTCAAAATTGTGATGATTAACCTATGGACTAACTACAGATGTGGGACATGGTAACTGAGGATGTTGATGGAGTTTCTATGGCAACTGTTGGATATATGCTCGGGCATCTTCAGGTGGTTCTGTTACCAGGTGTGCTAACAGTGGACAGAATAAAGCTTAAATGGAGAAAGATTAGTATTTGCTCAAGATTTAAGAAGTTACAGAGGTTTTATTCAAGTGAAACCTGAACATATAAATTTCTCATTAGAGTAATAGCTGTAGGGAGTCTAGGAGAAAGGATATGGGGTTGAAGGTATCCGTTTAAACTGTTAACATTGATTTGAAACTAGCAAGCCTAGATAGCAATGGTTGCAAGCACTTATCAGCACTCGAATGTCCTCCATCCACTGTGGGGAAGGAGGAAGTTTGGGAGGTACTGACCATAGTCAGCCAGCACTGTGCACTCCAGAGCCCAAATTCTCAAGAAGGCATCGAAAACAGAGTTCAGAATGTGAGATGCTTCCCCTGTTTTCAACCATTTCTAATGTTGCTGCTTTTGTTTGTTGCTGTTTCTGCTCCCTCCACGTGCTCTGATTGTGGACAATCAGACGGGAAAGGACAGAAGGGGGGAGGATTCAATCGCCATTGCTGAGATCACTGAGGG